GGAAACTTTTGGGCCCAGGGTCCAGGTAATGGCATGCTATCTGCCACACATGTTCATAATCCTTGACAAAGGTCCCTCCAAAGGGTCTCACAGGGCAAGTGTGAGCCAAAGCGTCTCCTTCTTGGCCTTGGCCCAATGTTTCCAGCCACTGGGCCTCACTCGCCCCTTGCAGCCACTCCCGATGGTTGAATTTGCTCTCTGACAGACACTATTGCTATTCGGCAGTTGCCTTCCTTGCTCTGCTGCAGCCAGGTCTTCAAGGGCTGGAGAGCCACGAGGTCAGCTCGAGGTGGGCTTGGATACCCTGCAGGGACTCCTCCTGAGAGCAATTTTGGGGCAAACCAGCTCATCTGAAGGCAGCTGCAGGAACGGTCAGATGGATGCTATGCAGGGTAAGCCTGGTGCCTGTGTCCACCTGAGGGAGCGAGAGGAGTGAAGGGGAGAATGTGGGTCACGAAATGCAGACTCTTCTGTCACCACCATCCTTCTGGTCAACAGTTACTTGCAATTACAAGGCAGAATTATGTCTTCATTCCTAATTAGCTGCCTCGCTCATCCTGATTCATCTATACCTCTGAGGATCTGGGTGGAGGAAGGAGCCAGTGCAGAAACACAAGGGGTGTGTCTCCCCGATTTCCGAATTCCCCAAGTATTAGCTATTTTCTGCCCCTGTTAGCAGTTGGGTGTAACAACACATGCATGGAGCGGAGGGGAAAAAGCTGATGGAATTATTTCTTTTTTTTTTTAAAGCCCAGAATCAATGTTTACACACCGGAGCTAAATTATTTATACACATAATGTTATAGGTTTCACATCAGTGGCTTTTATTAGCATTCGGCAGATGAGAAATCATACCTGACCTAATTGTACAAACCCCTCTCGTGCCTCTCCGTGGTGACAGCGTGGCAGGAAGGGGTGAAGGTGTTCGTCCCAGCCTAGCTGCGGGGATGCTTGAGCAGTGGGAGAGCCAGTGGAGGGAGAAGGGATGTCTCAGCACCTCCTACAAGGCATTTTGCTACTTTACATTTGGGGGAGAACATGCACGGGGGGGTTATTTTTGAAAAGTCTTACAAAACCCTGGCTACATCTGTCTCTCTAGAAGGACATGGCCCCACAGATTTTTCCTAGGACCATGCCCCCTCTCCTCCCCAGCAAAGGAGAGCTGCGCTTCCCAGTGAGGCATCACGACCTCAGCAGAAGGTAGGTTTTTGCGGGAGAAGGTTTCTCTCCAGGAGGGGTGGCCGTGTTAGGACCCCCCCATCCCCACACCACTCTGACGCGACGATGTGTGTTTCCCCTGAAAGACTCAGCCAGCCATTTCTAAACCAACATGTCACAGGCACTTGAGATGACTTTCTTCTTGTCTCGCAATTAATGCATTTTTTATGAAGCCCAGGCTCCAGTTTCCTTTCATGTTACCAGGAGGATATCCTGTTTCCAATTAAAGCTTCAGAAGGACTTTTTCACCCAAAGTGTTAATCTCTAGCCTCCTGTACACAGGACAGAGGGATGCACAGGCTGGACGGCCCAGCGAGGAAGCTGGAGCTCGGCTGGAGCCCACGAGTGAGTGCTGGCAATAGTGTTTGCTCCCTCCAAAAGCTGTTTCAACAGGTGAAACTGCAGCCTTGCACAGTACTTGCTGATGACTTTGCAGCACAGATGAGATCTAGTGCCTTGCAGATCCCTGCACACAGCAACATTTCTTGCTCCTAATTGCATCTTAAAAACAGGCATTGCAATTAATGTTACAAATAATGGTGTATCAACCTGCCTCCTGTTTAAAAAAGCCAAGCCAAATGAAGCCACACTTTTGGGGATGACTTGCAGCACAGAGCGCGTCAATGAAAATACTTATTGTATAGTGAGGGATGGATTTGTTCCATCAAGGTGGATGATCCCTAACTGTGTGAGTGATGAGTTGCATTCAGGTCTGAAGTCAATTCGTGGGCACCTGGAGGGTGATGGCAATCTCCGTCGGCCTTGTCAGGCTGAAGGGGTGGGATCAGAGGAATCTCATGAGGTTCAACAAGGCCAAGTGCAAGGTCCTGCACTTGGGTCAGGCAACGCCTGGTATCAATACAGGCTGGGGGATGAATGGAGTGAGAGCAGCCCTGCCGAGGACTTGGGGATGGATGGACGGACGGATGGGTGAAAAACTGGACATGAGCCAGCAACGTGCACTCGCAGCCCGGAAAGCCAACCATATCTTGGGCTGTATCGCAAGAAATGTGGCCAGCAGGTCGAGGGAGGTGACTCTGCCCCTCTGCTCTACCCTTGTGAGACCTTGCTTGTGTCCAGCTCTGGGTTCCCCAATACAAGACAGACATGGACCTGTTGGAGCAGTTCCAGAGGAGGGTCATTAAAATGATCATGGGGCTGGAGCAGCTCCCCTGTGAGGACAGGCTGAGAGAGTTGGGGTTGTTCAGCCTGGAGAAGAGAAGGCTCTGGGGAGACCTTATAGCGGCCTTCCAGTGCTGAAAGGGGGCTTATGAGAAAGACGGAGAGATACTTTTCACCAGGGTCTGTAGTGACAGGACAAGGGGCAACAGTTTTAAACTGAAAGAGGGTAGGTTTAGGTTGGACATTAGGAAAAACTGTTTTACAATGAGGGTGGTGAGGCCCTGGCACAGGTTGCCCAGAGAAGCTGTGGCTGCCCCCTCCCTGGCAGTGCTCAAGGCCAGGCTGGATGGGGCTTGGAGCAACCTGGTCTGGTGGGAGGTGTCCCTGCCCATGGCAGGGGGTTTGGAACTAGATAACCTTTAAAGGTCCCTTCCAACCCAAACCCTTGTGATCTATGGTTTAGTTGATCTTTCAATATTCCACAATGGAGAGGGACTGTGCTGACTCACGCCATGTCACATGGATGCAGGACGTGCACCAGGCTTCAGCTGTTCCGTGCAGCCACCGAAGTCTAAAGGAAACTCTCGCTAGACTTTTTACCAGCAATTTATCCCTAGCGCTCCTTATATAAAGCAGAAAAGGTGTGGCGAGCCGCTCTCTCACTTCACTGCCTCCTTGTGACTGATGGAAGATTACCAGGAACATGTTTTTGCAGGAAATATTTTCAAAGGCTAAACAACATTTGATGAGGGTGTGATAATAAATTACCAGGCATATATCTTGCTACTCCAAATTATGAGCATTGCTTTGTCCTTCCTATGTGTTGTTTCCATAGAAGCAGAGCTTAACCTTTTAAGTGCAGATTATAAAGGCACCTAGTTCAATTAAAATTACACTTCAAGCATATCAGCACTTAATACTCAAAGAGTTACTCTGTGATTGGATATAGACGTTGTTGTGATTGGCGGGCAGCATGGTTTCTGCCTGAGCCAGCTGGGAAAACAGTATTGTGGTGGCAACTTTCAGAGCTTTCCTATACATTTCCTTACGTAGTCCACTAATTGCCAGATAATTCCCCTGCAATAGGGGAATCCAGCACAGAACACAGGAACGCGCATGCAATTAAAGTTATTTATTGTAGGTTTTCTTTTCCGAACTGACAAAGAGGGTTTCCCAGAGATCGGTAACACGACACAATGTTATACACCATTTCACAACTAGTCCCTTGTCGCTTTATTAAGAACATAGTCATTTAAAAATATCTAAATATTTACATATTAATAAAACATATATACAGAAGATTGAGACATTTTTACCTAAATATGGAATGATTTTTTTTTCTTCTCTCTAATAAACCCTATAAAAAGATATCTGAAGAAAGTCTGAACAGTAGTCACAGTAAGTAAACACAGATGCAATCTTCCAAATTTACAAAACGCTGATTCTGTTGCTGAAGGGTTACGATACGGACACGACGGACCAGTGCCCCCTGCCCAATGCAGGCAACTCCAAGCCACTAAGGAAGGAAAGACTCAAATTTTAAGGTTTGCAGTGCATATTCCATCTATTCCACAGTTTCAGAGAGAACACGGTCATTCCTAAAAGTCCACAGTAGGCGGGTGGGGAAGGGCCGGCAGCCTGGTTTCTCAGGTGCTGAGAGAACAAACCACTCCCATTGGCTTCGGTGTTGTTTGTGGGCATTTGGTGACATCTGAGAAACAGGCTTCAGGATTGTTAAAAGAAGAGACTAAATATTTTGAAAACCATCCCACTCTGTAATAGCACTTCTGTTGAGACACTCAAAAGGCCAAATAGTTTCCAAAAAAAAAAAAAAAAAAAAGCATCTAAAATATACACAGGGAAAGGAAACGCAATGGTAAAGGATCTCGCAAGCTCTCCCTCGAATTGCAGGAAACACGCTCCAGCTACCTGGTGACGGATAGACGTTGCAGGTAGGACCTTCTAGACTTTTTCCCAACATTTTTAAAGTGAATTTAGTGCTGATGAAAGGTGCAGAAGCAAAGGTTTGCATGGAGGCCCTCGTACGATTTCACCTTAGCCCTGACCTGAAAGGACTGACCCTTTCAGAGTCTAAGAGGGTAGTGCAATTTCTTAATCGATTCACTCATCTTAACTGCTGAGATATCAACAGAGTGCCAGTTGAAAAGTGATTTTTTTTTCTTTTAAATAGTGAATATCATTGCTAAGGGCAGTGGATGAAAAATCACAGCGTGCAGACCCTCTTCCTGGCAATCGGCAAACTAGTATGTTTTGAGATTGAGGTGGTAGAGCAAGCTGGCGGGGGGAGGAAATGAGGGGAGAATGACCACCTCCAGCAATCCACACTACAAAGATGCTCAAGAGCTATCCCACTAAGACCATGTAGGGGAAATTGAGGAAAAGCTTCTTGCTACAATTAGGAAACCGGGCACCGCTGGGAGGAATCCTGCTTTATTTCCTGCTAAATCCAGCGAGGACTTTCTAATCACAGCTGCTTACAACTGGTCGTTGGTACCACAGCAGCCAGGGAAGGAAAAGTGGGTCTGCAGAAGCAAAGAGCTTCGAGGAGGCAAATGCTCATTAAGCCCCCAGGGGTTCATGATGGAGAGAGATGCCACCTTGGTCTTCGGGGACGGGAAGAGTCACCCGGCTGTGTGTATCCACCTCTGCGTGGCGTAAGATGAAACACTGCTGGCAAGCATACAATCACGTGGAAAAATACAATCATGGAGGAAAAACAAAGGCAAAAGAATGTCTTCAGAGTGGATACCCCGCTAATTAAATAATGCATTGGATACGGAGGGAAATCATCTTTAATTAAGATGAAGAACAGCGAAGCAATCTGGCGGTTCTGTTATTTGAAGTTGCACGGAAAATGCATGAAAAGACACAGACTTGAAGGGAAAACGGTATGGGTGTCCACGTCTTGCGGTACGCTGAAGTCCTCACGCCGATCTTGTGGGACCAGTGTTCAAAGGAGAGGATGTTTCTATCTGCTAAGAACACTGATGCCAGATGTGAAATTCAAGCTGAAAAATCTGGAGCTGTGTCTATCAGATGATCTGTTGTGGTGTCGAAAAGGCTACCTGAAGGAAGAAGGAGTTTGAAGAAATCAGTTAAAAAACATAAAAATCTAAGAAATTAGCGATTTGAAAAAAAAAATTAAAACTACGGAAATTACATATTTGAGTTCAGAGTTTAATTTGTGACAGGGCTGAACTGCTGGTGTGCAGGCAGGCAGTGGCTGCTGAATTCCGTTTAGAGTAAAATCAATCAGCTAAAGAAAAGAAAATTAAATAGAGTTTTTTGAACACAGAATTTGCCAGCAAAGTTTTTCACACAACATATATAGCGCATCCCACTTCAGACGTAAAGTGCTGCACTAGACTTCGGCACAAACTGCACAGCAATGCTCACCACTTTGAAGTTACAGTTCTGAAGAAGTGAAAAAAGCACCACATGAAATTTTAAACCTACAGCATGTACTTTGGAAAAAACCCCCACCACTCCACAGCAGTCTAAATGCATATGGGTGAATATATATATATATGTATGTATAAAAAGTGCACGGTATGATTATATCCCATCTTTTTTAAAGCACTTTAAGAATGTGCTTTTTCTAAACAGAACAATGAAAGATGGACAGAAGAATTACAACGAGAGCGCTAAGAACATGAGGCAAACAGGAGACAGACATCAATCAGCCTGAGAGGAAAATACAACCCAATGAAAAGGGAAGACTCATACAATCACGCGCTGAAAGGATAAAGATTTATATTACAATAAAGGATTTATATTTAAGGTTTCCAAAAGGGTTTTTTTTTTTTTAAGTTTCGTTTTCTTGATATTGTATTTCAAGAGAAAAGGAGACAACCTATATAGAATTGAATCATTCCTGTTTTCTTATCATCTGTTTCTTTACCAAGAGATTGTTCTCATCTTTTCACAAAGCTGTATCACCCCTGGACCCGAGGACTGGGATGTTAGTGTCTCAGCTTCTTTTAGGGATATCAAAATTCTTTCTCATCTTGAAATTAACCCCAGTGTGGAGAAACTATACAAACTCTCAGCACAGCTGTGGTCCAAAGCACGTGGGTAAGGAGCACTCTCTCATGGTCCTACGCTGCATATAGCTTTCAAGCCCAATTTTCAAGATGAGGATTCAAGGAAAGGGCATTGCAGCTGGCTTACATCTGTTTCCACGTGCAAAACTTACGGGTTCTGCCTTCCTTTTGTTTTTTGTTTGAAAACACAAAATCCAGATGCTTCATGTAAATTGTAGATGAGCCTTTTCGCAATACTAACTTACACAGAAAGACTCTAAAAGCTGCCACATCTTCATTCTGACAAAGACCTATCTCACACCTTCCAGGTTCCTGTATCACGGAGAAACTAATCAGTCTTTCCACTTAGTCCACAGTAATTACTCCCAGAGCTGTCTGATCTGTCTCAGCCCAGGTCTGGACACAGCCTTCAGCTTTTTGTAGGAGCAAAAGCTGGAACTGTGGAAGACGTGAGCTTTGATAACATTTGTTAAGAGACAATTCTTCTAGTATTTTCTTGAGATTTATCTGTCAATGCACCAAAGTTCCCAGCAAGTTCAACTGCTGCAATTCTTCCAATTTACTTTAAACGTGCTTCAAGCAACAGCTTTTAAAGCAGAGGCCCTCTGAGCGTTCAGGGTGATTTTAAAATGGGACCACGATTTCTGCTCAGAAGCGCTAAAATATAATTGGGCAAAAATATCTTCCTTAGTTTTATGAGGATGTACCAGCTCCATTTTTTCACAAGGCTTTTGTGTTCCGAAAGAGGGTTTTGAAAACAACCCCCCCAGCTCTCCTCAAAGTACTGGACTTTGCTAGTTGTGGGCACAGAGGGAGCAGGTTCAAACCCGGCTGTAGGCACCAGTTAACCGCACTCAGAGCCCAGTCCTGCCAGCACCAAAGGAGAGACACCTCCAAACACGACCTTAGCTCATCTGACCTTCTCTCTGGAGGCAGCCCTCTTCCCACCAACGGTGAAGAGAGCTGAGAGCAACCACACTTCTGACTGAGGTGTCTCCAATGAAGTGTCAGCCACAGGCTGTGATCCAAAAACGCGTAGATTGAGGCATTTCCGTATCGCTAGTCCACACATACCCTGATCGTGATCATAACGTTGCTGGTGGCACAGGCAGGACTGACTGAGCAAGAAGGGCAGATTAAAGGCATCTGAGTTTTTCCTTTTTTTTTGGCACCAACACTCACTATTGATTCAAACCCTTCACTCTGGGTGCTTTTGCTTCACAAGTTCGTCCAATTCTTGCAGACCAACAGAGCAACCATTGGTGTCTGTCACAGATAGCTTCTGTAACTCACCCTTTCTCCCCATCCAGTCTCCTGCAAGACGCCCCGTCAAGCAGTCTAATTCAGTCTCGTTTTATTCTACCAACACACCAGGTTAACCACCGACAATAGAACCACAGAATCATTTGGGTTGGAAAACACCTTTAATCATTGAGTCTAACCATTAACCTAATAAGGCCAAGTCCACCACTAAACCACGTCCCAAAGTGCCACATCTACATGCCTTTCAAACACCTCCAGGGATGGTGACTCCACCACTTCCCTGGGCAGCCTGTTCCAGTGCTTGACAACCTTTTCAGTGAGGAAATTTTTCCTAACGTCCAATTTAAACCTCCCCTGGCACAACTTGAGGCCATGATTTATCTGATATTAGCTGTCATCTGCAACTGAGGCCCATTGCACCAGGCACTGTATAAACACATAGAGAGACTCTTCCCCAAAGATTTTTCAAGCTAAACAGAGAAGACAGCTGAATAAATCACATGAAGGCTCTCTTTAAAGGACCTGTCAGTAACACCCCTTTACTAAAACAGCTGTACTAAGACACAGAAAGACCTCTGCAAAAGTTATATTCCACTTCTTTTGCTACACTCCTTGATAGAAAGCATCTGTATTTTGGCTATCATAATTACTGTCATTATACTGTCTGTGTATCACTTTAAATAATTTGTTTCCAAGAACAGTATGATATTACACGGATACGTACTACAAAGAGGCACTTGCACACATATAATAACGGGTGTGAGTCAAACGCTTGGCTTACAGCCTGTGAGCATCACCTCCCCCACCAATGCAAATTGCAGTGTGGTTTATTTAGGCACCCTTCCACAGATACGGAGACGTATACACTGCAAACGGCATTTCCAGCTCAAAAACTGCATGCCTGGATGCTCAAAGGTGCGTGAGCAAGCTACGGGGTGGAAAGGGAGTCGTCTTCTCTGCCACAACCATCGCAGCACGCTCGTTTCCACCGATGACGTACAACGCAAGTAGTAACGACAGAAACTGCGCTCGAAGAAAAGCACAGCAATCCAATAATTCTGCTCCTGAAGATGATTACGAGAGCAATGAAAAGATAACAGTAGGTCACACTAGCAACCTTTATTAGGGTCCTCTGCCAACGGAATTGCTTCCCTCTCCGGGAAAAGAAACGAACAGGATGTCACTTGGAAGAGACCTTTCAAACCCGAGCTTCCTGCATCTATCGTACCCTGCAACACCACGCAGCGGCTGGCCAAGAAAGCAGCCCGGTGGCTCACAGTCAGCGCGTGCTCCCAGCCCCCGCTGGGTCCATGCCAGAACAAGACTATAGCTGCTTGTCCTCCCCACTGCTGCGCTGGGCCTATTCCTTAGTAACTGCACGTGCTCTGACAGCGGGATTTCAACCGACAGCGCTGCGCGGCTGGCAGCTGCTGCGCCGGCACGCAGCAGCGGTGTGTGCAAGCTCCTTCTCCAGCCCTTATGCAAGAGAGATGAGGAAGCACAGGAGACAGATGCTGCAATGGTACTCGTACTCTCTCGGCCACTCCAAAGCCTCCAGGTACCGTGCCACGCGCTCAGCAACCCAGTATCAGCCCTGTCCTGTTCTTCACAGCAACAGCAGCACTGATCTCCAACCACCCTGTGTTATTACACCTTAGAAATACGATAAAAAGGCACCATAATCCATGACCCTATTTGCCTGTTCAAGATCTTCCCTCCTTTTTAACTTGGCTTTGGGGATAACAGGCAGCATCTTGGTCAAATTACAGGGAAATGACTCTACAACGCAGGGAAATGACCACCTCCCCAGACCCTGGCCCCACTGGATTTTCAGTGGATGGCAGCTCAGCTCGCATGAGGGCACCTATCGATGGACTGACTCTTAACGAGAGGGTGCTTCACGTTTCAGTCTCAGCCTTTTAGATATCAACACCATGTGCAGCAGCGTGCAAAAACCTTATTTTCTAGTCCGCACAGCTGCATAGCTAAGCTGCTGTTCAGCAGCTGTCAAGCTTTTAAGGCAGGGTGGCTGCCCTTCAAGAAAAAGTAAACCAACACTTAACTAGCATATAAATATCATTGCAATCCTTCTGTGAACCCGAGATACTACTGCTAATACCTTGGACAACTAAACAGATGCTGCAGTACAAATTATTGTGTTTGTCCCTACCAATAACTCTGTTAAGAATTCAAAAAAAATCCCAGAAATACCAGGGATGAGCACAAGTCCCTATCTGGCATAAGAAGGGTAACTTACTGGCCTTATTAGCTTAGCTGCTACCATGAACCTCGAGGTTTTATGAATATGAAATAGTGGGGGAAATTGTAAGATCCTGATGCATTTGGTTTTTAATACAGGCCATTCAAAACTTAAGATAGCTGGGTCCTGTGTGTAATTACCCGACTGTATATGGCATGCCAGGATTATTGAAAACTGCTTCTGTGCCATAAATAAACAAACACACACATTGGAAGCTGATAAAAATTTTAATGCATTTTACCTGTTTGTAGTAGAGAAATGTCCGGCTTCTCATCACAGTCAGTTGCCTCTGCTGATTACAAATATAAACAAGAAATCTCATTACTTTTACTGAATATGGGAATGCGATTAAAAAGCTACATCGTGTAGAGTGATTTTGCATTTTCTATCTACTTTCCTCGGCTGCAATTTACTATTGCTCAGTTAAAAACTCACTGCTTGGAGGAAAAGGTCATATAATAAAAATGCAAACTTAGAAGAGGGAGTTGGGTATTAAGATGCAGTTGTGCCAGCAATGGAGTAACACTTGCTCTCTTTAAGGTTTCCAGATGATAAAAGGAGTTGCGATCCTTTGATAAAACCATGTAGGGGAAGTCCCCTGCGGTCCTTGGAGAAAGAGCCTCTCAGGCTGGTGCTCCACCCTCAGCCAGCTGCCATCACCTGACGCCTCCAGGGAAAGGGTGAATAGCCCCATTTCTGCACCCAAACTTCCCGTGACCACAGGCAAGCTCATTTTGCAGGGGACAGATTTACTAGGGCAAAACGTCTTCAAAGACGGAGGTGGGCACCCAGCGTAATTAAAAAAGCACGTAACCATGCAGGTACACAGGCAACTGCTGTGTATGCCTACGCACGCGCTTTCAACCCACAGCTTATGCAAGATCATTTGATTTAACTTAGCCCACGGTGAAGGAAGGCTAAAAGCCTAATTTGTTCATCTCGTACTTGCCACAGGCCAAGGGTATGCATAACGATAGCTAATGGGGCTCAGCAGATGTGCAGCGACTTGTCAGACTGTAGTGCCCTGGAGTGTGCACGTGAACCCCAGGTAAGTTACAGGCGTGCCTAACCTACTCAAGCTCTATTCAAAATCCTGCTACCTTTGTCTTTTGGCACTCCAGCATATTTAAGGCCTTTAAAGCATAATAAGACCTTTGACAGCACTTCAGCAGACTAGGTGCGGTCATAAAGGACCAGCCCTGTGATGTTGTACACAGTCAGAGAGGTGGATATACATCTACCCACATCCATCCATTCCATGATATCCACAGGGACCAAATCTGACCAAGGCTACAGGTGCACTGAGCAACTTAGTTCAGCTCCCACTTGAAACTAAGGTAACTGTCCTGGTCATCTCTATCACGGCTCCACACATGAGGATGTTGAGTTGTTGCCTTTATGATGATATTGTAAGAAGAACTAATCCATTAGTTTCCTAATACAGACCCATCCACCCTTGGCTCCCCATCCCTGGACCAAGAGGCTGCTCTCTCTCCCACGTGCATGGGAGTATCAGTTTGGTTTCTAGCTATAAGTTCTCTACTCAGTTCTGCAAAATTAACTGAACTAAAGAAAACAGAAACAAACTAAAACCCCTAGTACTGAGCAGCTTTCCTCCCACAGAGGGTTTAAATGGACAGCCCTGACAAGTACATGGCACAGACCTGCAAATGACTCTGTGGCACACTGGGCAGGAACAATTAAGTGCTTGGTACAGCTTACTGCAAAAACCTTGACTTTCGGAAGGACCAGGTGGCTCAATAAATGAGAAAAGGTTACCTAGGCTGGTTTGAATCTGGACGGGACTCCCAGTGATGGAAGGACTGGATGTGCAAAGGAGGAGACAGTACAGTGAAACCAGCAGCTGAGAAACAGCCAAGGGGATATATACAGCTTAAAAAATCTGGAGTGCCAGTCTGAGGCCAATTTCTGCCTATGTTATAAAGAACTACCTGCACGAAGCGATTCTGTGGCGCAGCTACTCAGCATACAAGAGACAAAGCTGTAACTGTCCCCTTGGGTTGAAGGGACCCAAGCTATGAAAATGGGGGAAGCCAGATCTGAGTGGTGGCAAGGGGCTGGAAAAGTGTTCCCTCTATCAATACCAGAGCTGGTGCCAACTAGGCTGTCCACTCAAGTGACGGGTTTTCTCGAAATCTCAGCAGCGACTCTTGAAGTAGCCCTAGAGATGCAGTTCCCTTTCTGGCTAACTGCTCTTCTTACACCTGGCTACAACGGAACTCAGAGGAAGGCAGTGATACAGAAAGAAACCAATGGAAGCTAGGAATTACTTCACTTTATCCGAAGACAAGGACTTGAGTCTCCAACTTCGCAGAACCAGCTCTGTGGATAACAAAGCTACCTGGCCATTTCAATCTGGCACAAGACTGACAGATGAGGTACAGCTCTCCACCAATTGTTCCAGTCCCGTTCCTCATGCCAGCACAAACGTTTGTATGGTCACCAAGATCAGATCTAGCTACAAACTGACAGCATCTCCACATGAATGCTTGTGCCAGCGCCAGAAAGGGAGTGGGAGCATGGCAGATGCCCGGAGAGCCTACTCACTCTTCTCAGTAGCTGCCTGAATTTGTTTTATGAAACTGGATGCATAACCACAGCTCCAGGTGAAGTATGACACAAAGGCATGACAAACACCTCGACCTCCGAACATGGATGTAAACCACCAGCTTCTCACATGTCATTCCAAGCAGGAAAGAAGGTTTGCCTTCGACAACCGCACCCAGAGACTGCCAGCCAAACTTCACTTGTCTTGAGCCAGCCTGCAAGACAAGGCAAGCAGGAATAGATCCTACTGTGGGAATTCGGAGCCTCTTTTCTGTCCTTTGCTTAGATACACCTCAGTAGCTCTTGCAAAACAAGAGCTGGTAGTAATTTCCTTAGAATTTCTTTTTTTCCCCCCAAAAAAATTCTTTAGCTTCTGATGTACATGTTTGTCTATTAAATGTACACCTGCTGGTTTGCTCCTTGGGCAGATGTACATGTATGCTCAGGGCTGGGAAGATGAATTCAGCAGTGACTCACTTTAATATTGCCATCTTTATCTACTGGCCGCAAAAGCACTGCGCCACATGTTGGACTTGCGTCCTACATCCCTTCTGGCCCTGCGTGTATTGCTAAGCAAAAAATCAACCTGATCTCTGGCAAGATGTAGATACTGTATCAAAAACACAGACCAGGGAAATCAGAAGGATGGTGAGAAACAGAAAGCAAAAAACCCCTCATACGAAACAATGGAAGCAGCAGTCTGAACAAGGACGTGGGAGAAAAGGCGCATTTCCAGAAAAAAGGTAAGCGTTTTTTCTTCCTTCGTTCCCACTATTTTACACTGCAACAAGGTAACGTTAATTTTAAACAATTCAAGGATGAAGAGTCATGTCATGTAATTTATTTAAATTAATCCTGCCTGAAAAATTTCAACGTGTTTTCTAACATTGCCACATTTTCCTTTATGGAGTAGGGCAATCAAAAGCTTCCAGGTTACGCACAAGGTAATCACTTTGCATGAACAGCTCTTACCCTGTGTACTTCGGGAGTATTACTCATCCGGTATCAGCTTTCCTATCTATGCAATGGACAGCTGCTACAGAATAATGGCTTAGAGGCTCTTCAAAACATAAAAAGGGAGGAAGAACTTACTGCGAGAGATGTGTGGCCCCTGACCTACTGCTTATTAATGGATGGAGAGTTTAGCAATCAAAAGGCTTGGATGCTATGTCTGGCACAGAGGTGACATGAACAGCGAGTCAGTTCCTTCTGATTTTACCAGTTTTAAGCTCTCTAAGCTAATGGTCGACTGTCTCCTCCTGTGCTGCCACTGGCAAGGCCACCAGCCACCTACCCGTATTCTCTTTTGCAGGCTGAAAACCCGCCGCTGTAAATTACAAGGCAATTTGCATCGTAACTCACGTTGCTTTAAGAGAGGAAAGCTATGCACATGCCTTTTCCTTTGACTTCTTCCCTTCCAGGGCCACTTTGCATCCCATTCCAGCAGCCAAAAAGGTTCAGCTTCTCTGCTGGAAGAAGACAGATCTGGCACTATGAAGCTGTGCCCCAGTACATGTGCTGTTGGCATGAAATAGGACCAGTAGTCAAGGCTGAAGAATATTATCATACTCCTTAATTTTAATCCTAACATCTGTTTGTAACATTAACCTCACAGTCTCTTCTCCCCTTTGTGACAGCCAACTTGTGAAATTTTGAAAAGACTGAACAAGGCCAATAAAAATTTAATGGCGGTGACAGCTTTATTCTCAGATCTAACAAACAAAAAAAACCTACCCAAGTCTCAGATCTCAGGCAATAATCTAAAAGAACTAAGAAAAAGCCAAAGCAAAATAAATAGATTTTAAAAAAAGAATATTTTCAGCTATGAAAAATATTGTCACTGATTCAGAATGTAAATGAATTTTTATTTGGCTTAGGATAACAACCTTTCAAAATCTACACAGGGGAACTATTTTCTAGAAAGCGGAATTTTTAAGTGTTTTTTTGATTAGCCTTCTAAGCAGGGAGGTTTTCTGTCCCTCATTCTAGGAGATGAGCCAAACATGATAAATAAGGTTGAAGCTGGGCAGCACCTATGATCCAGCGATCATGATTTCATTTAATTTGGAAACACTGAGGAGAGTATGCCCCACAGAAAGAGGTATGAAAAGCAGATCCACCCCACTCATTTGCTAGAATTCTCTGAAATTATTAATATCACTGAAAGCTAGAGCAGGATTTATGTTATCAGACTGAAATAATGTTTCACAGGATAAAGCGGAGAGGGCTGCTCACAAATTCAGTATCTTACTGCCTGGTCTGAAATGAAAAACAAATCAGAGGATGTACTAAATAGCTCAGGGGAAGGCAAGCAGGATGGAAAGCCTGCCCCTCCTCTCTTAAATACTTCTGCTGTTAAAATTTAGCCCAACTCAGTGGTGACTAAAAAGTTACCTTGTGGCTTCTGTAAAACAAACGGATCGTTTAAGCTTTCTCCATATAAAGCCTGTGCATTATGACAAACCAGAAACTGATAATTCAGTGCGATCAGGCAGCAGGGAGACACACTGGCTCAGAAAGTCTTGGGTGAATTTAGCTTAATGCTGGCTCAGCTTTGCTCTTTGGTCCCCTTAGTCTATACCCAGAAATTCAGCCAGAATGTTTCAGTGAGCAAGTGGAGGCAAAACTAAAAGGAGAATGACCTGGGAGTATGGACAGGAGCACACTCGCTTACTTGGCCTCAGCCTCTGCTCCACCAGCCACACGCAGACTGGAGGAGCTCAAGAGCTCAGCTGGAAGAGTGATGAGTCCCACAACTCAGTGGCTGCGATTCCCATAGTTTTCAGATTCTTAAAAGCTAAGTTTTGCAATAGGGAGCCCTGGGACACCTTCTCCCCGTAGCAGATCAAACCTCCCTCCGTGCCTGCCCTCCCTTCCTGTTTTGGTCTCCATTAAGTTACACACAGCTTCAACAATTTCGGTATGGTTTCACAACGAATAGTTAAAATGTGCACAGTTCCCACACAACCAATTTTATATCAGGCTAAAGCTGCTGAGGGCTGTGAGGCTATGCTACCAAACACCACAACATCCTTCCCTTGGTCCTACAGGCCTCCCCAGGCATCTGCTAACAGCCATTGTTGGGAACAAACTATGGGACTAGATGGATCTGCTGCCTGATCAGCCCTACATCCCTCATATCAGAAGCTCACGGTAGCAACACAGAAGCACTAACAAATCTGATTTCAACAAGATGAAGACGTTACTGCAACCAGCTGTCTGCTCCTGCCTCTCTGCTGTTATCTACTGCTTTGCTGTCACAAACGCTGTGGAAACTTCTTACTTGCTTCAGTGCAAGGTCAGGTTGGGTTAGCTTAAGCCACCAGTGGAGATGATAGTGGACAGTAAGGTACAGATGGCCACACTGGTGTGCTCAATCACTCCTGCTAGATCAAAAAAAGCATGTCTGCCTGTGGCCTCACGTCAGAGACAAACCAGTGCACTTCAGGGAACGGCCAGTAAACTAAACAATCAATAAAGAGCTCTTCTACCCATCTAGGTACCATGTGCTTTTTTTCAGCAAATAAACCTGAGGGGCTGCTAGGTACACTGCTCCTCACAACTCATCCACGTACCGGTTAACGAGTTGCCTTCCCTCTTCAGGCAGAGACAGATATTGGAGCCTATCTTATTCAGTCACGCTATACTCAGCTTCGCTTATTTTCCTTCATAGTCTTGCTAGCTCAGAGACAATATCCTCTGCTTAGACTCTCCCATCCTGAGAAAGAACCAGAGATGGAGGTGGCCCCGTTTGACAGGCAAAAGCTGAATGTCATTGTCATTTTAATTAATATCCTGCAGAGGCATGAAGAAAAGCAAATAAAAAAGGATGGAAGAAAATAAAAATCAAAACAAAATTAGGTCAATCCTCTTTCCCGAGGGACCTTCTGCAGACAGCCCAAGGACCCTCTGCTCCCCACATCCCGCACTGCACTCTTCACCGCATCGAAGCCTGGCATCCCACTTCCACCATCCTGTCCTGGGGGGGCACAGGCAGCCCTGGAAGGGGCAGGAAGCAGTCCTGTTGTACAACACCAGTAATCTGACACTGCCTTTAACAAGATTATCTCGTATCCCTCTCTTCTCCCTCCCCCAACACGCACAAGAAACCCTTTTCAAGGCTAGTGCTGGTTTGCTTCTCTACTCAGGGAAGCTTATGCTACTGAATAATCTGCACTTTTCTCCTCCCCCTGTGTTATTTCTGTCTCTGGGTGTTTCTCATTTTCCTCAGTCTTACGCTCT